ATCATCACCAGCAGCAGCAGCAGCAGCAGACATCGCCACTGAATCAGATGCAGCAACAAACTTCGCCATTGAATCAGATGCAGCAGCAGCAGCAGCCTCAACAGATGGTTGGGTCAGGAGTAATGGGTGGTCAAGCTTTTGTGCAAGCTCCTGGAAGATCACAACAAGGTGGTGGTGGCGGAGGGCAGCCTACCATGCCAGGAGCTGGCTTCATGGGATAAAGCTTTGATATCTCTTCGTCAGGTTTTTTAATTTTCTGCTAATTAGTTTCATCGTATAAACACAGATGATTTCCGTCTTCTTGGTCATCTCGATGAAGATCGTTGTTTTGTTCGTGTCATTTGCCTCTGCCTGAAAAATGGCATCCTCATGTGGGTCTGATCATTAACTAAGCAACCAAATGTCTTTGTTTTATTCTCTAGAGAAACATATTAATGTGATTTGTCTTTAACTTTTTTTCTTTTCATAGTTTAGTCCTCAAGCTCTCGGTGTTTATCAGATTGACGAGTAAATAAAGGATCAATCGTGATTAGATTTTAAGTTCATTTGTATATATATGAAGGATAAATTCTCTCTACTCCTTTAGAAAAGAAGTAGCTTGACAAGAGGTGGCAGGGAATTAGAGGCTCCTATCAAATACCACGATATGGAATGGAAGACAACACGAGGGAGAGGTAAACGAGGTCGCCGTGGCCGAAGTTCCTCTCACTAGGTTATCTTTTCATACCATTACTTGTATATGTTCTCTACCTATACCTTTGTTGTACTGGTTTGGGGTTAAATTGCTCATGAGTTTTGTCTCGTGAAATCTTTTTCAAACTATAAGACATTTGGTCTTCACCTGTGATCGTTTATGTTTTAACTAGGTGTTTTGCCCGCACTTGCGGGCTTAATAATTTTACTAATATCTATAAATCAATATATAATCAATTTATGTAAATTATAATAAATTATAGTTCGTAGACTCAAAATATTTAATAATAAACTAAACAAATTCTTTCTATATATTTTTGTTTCATCATCATATAAATAATTTTCATACACAACTTATATTTGAAAATACTCATGAACTTAAAACAGTTAGTAATAAATTAATATCTTTTGTAGACATAACAAAAAAGTATAAAAAATTATCTTTAATAATGTTTTGGATATCACAATATAAATTATCTATACATAAATTCTTTGCGAATTGATTTTTCATAATTAACTATATATTAACAAATAGAATTAGTTTTCAACGTTAATAAAGACTTTATAACCCAATATAAAAAAAGTTAGGTAAAGATAATTATCAAATTCATGAGATTCATTTTTTAATTTAGAATTAATTATATGTTAACAAATATAATTA